TACCCAGAGCAGCTGGTTAAGAGGTAAATCACCATAGAGAGCAGGGCTGAGGAAGCCCCATCCATTGGCTCTCACCCTGGACCAGGCCCAGTGCTAGTCCCAGCAGGGAGGACAGGACTTCCTCTCCCCTTTCAAGGAGCAGCTAGGATCAGGTAACACCCATTCCCAGAGACCTCCCCTAGCTGCAGGAAGCACTGCACCCTCCTCTCTTCCTGCCCTATTGCTGCTCAGCTGCGGGGTGGGGGAAGGGAGGATCACTACAGTAATTCCTCATTTAACACTACAGATGCGTTTCTGAAAATGTTTGTGCTAAGCGAAAACGTGCTATGCGGGGTCAATTTTCCTCTTAAAAATAATGGAAAACGTGGGGGTTGCATTTTAGGTGGTGGTGGCAAAGTCAATTTTTTGTTGGTGCTGGGTCATCAACGTCAACATTAGATATCTAGTAACACAAGTTGCTGCAGTTTGTTAAAACACAAAAATAAACACCTGAGTGAGCGGAGGAGCGCTGTGACCACATGGGTTCATCCACTCATGTGTATTACCACTGTTTTTACCAACTTATACCACCACACAAAGCAGTCTGCCACTTGATTATTTTTGTGTTATTTTGGGGAGGGTCGTGTTATTCGAAAAAATTCCCCCAAAAAAATCGTGCTATTGCAAAAACGTGTTAAGTGGGCACATGTTAAATGAGTAATTACTGTGTATGGGGAGCTGCTCCCTCTGCCTGCCACCTGTGCATCTGGAACTCACCATATCCAGATCCCTCATTTAGCCTCCCCCTCCCCCGCATCTGGTAACTCCCACCCCAGTAACCAGACCATTCCTTGCTGAACTCCCACGCTCAAACACCCATCCCACCATGCCCCACTCCTCCAGCACCCAGATCCCTCTGCTGGTATCCTACAGTCAATTCCTCTGCAGTGGCCCATCCCTCTATACCCAGATTCTCTGCCAAGTCCCGGCCACCTTCACCTGGACCTCTTTTGCACCTGGAACCCCCCAACAAGTCACTGTATATCCAGATTCCCCCGCACCTAGATCTCCCCACTTAGCTGCCTACATACAGATTGCCCTCCACAGAACCTCCCCAAATGTTGATCCCTCCACACTTGGATCCTACTGGGATGAACATACCTGGTCCACACCTGGTGTGTTTGATGTGGAGGGGAAGGGTCCTGGAGTGTTTCTGGGACAGGCCTGGCCCTGGTGTTATGTCAGCATCAGGTGCAGCCTCGTTGCTGAGTCTGCATACTGAGGTAGGGTCACCTCCCACCTCCCTGCAGCCAGTGGCCTATGCTCTCCCCTGACATGCTGAAGCCTCCACATTTCATTATCGACAAATAAAATGTGCAGAATTCTATAATGTAAAATGTACTTTTGGGGCACAGAATTTCCTCAGAAGTAGAAGTTGGGGGGGATGAAGAATGTTGGGCAAATGTCTCTGGACATAGGTGCTGGAGCTAGGAGTGGAGGGGGGGGGGTGCTGCAGCAGCCCCTTGCTTGAAGTGATTTCCATTAGACCAGAGGTGGGGAACCTTTTTTGGGTTGGGGGCCACTGACACACAGGGAAAAAAAAACTACTAGGCCCAGCCCATGATGGGGCAGTGGGGGTGGCTGGAGTGCCATCACAGGTTCCCCACTGCTGAGGAAGGGTGCTGAGCCTTGGGGGTCAGATCCAGGCAAGCCGGAGGCTGCATCTGGCCCCCTGGCTGGAGGTTCCTTACCTCTGCATTAGACAAAGGATATAGAGTTTGGTTCAATGGCACGTAGCACCCCCACAATAATAATTGTTCTAGGGCCACTGTCACTGGAGGTGAGGATCAAAGGAGAGGAGGCTAGAACTTCGCTAGCATCCATTCAGTCAGCAGTTATTAGGCTCTTGGTCCCTATTCCCAAACAATCACCACACACAGGCTGTGTCTACACTGGCCACATAACCCGTAATAGCTATGGGAATGAGAGAAGTCAGAATAGGGAAATGCGTGGGGGATTAAAATATCCCCCGCGGGATTTAAATAAACATGGCCGCCGCTTTTTTCCGGCGTGGGGAAAAGCCAGAAAAGAGCGTCCAGACTGGCGCGATCCTCCGGAATAAAGCCCTATTCCGGAGGATCTCTTATTCCTACTTGCAAGAGAGATCCTCCGGAATAGGGCTTTATTCCGGAGGATCGCGCCAGTCTGGACGCTCTTTTCTGGCTTTTCCCCACGCCGGAAAAAAGCGGCGGCCATGTTTATTTAAATCCCGCGGGGGATATTTTAATCCCCCACGCATTTCCCTATTCTGACTTCTCTCATTCCCATAGCTATTACGGGTTATGTGGCCAGTGTAGACACAGCCACACAGTTCCCAACAGACCATAATGTAAACTTTAAACAAGCTAAAAAAAATACCCCAAAAGACACACAAGCTGCCCACTCATGCCAAGAAATTAGTGTTCAGACCTTCAGCTTGAAATATTAAGAGCCCCGCAATAAAATTACAAGAGTTGGCAACATAAGTCTGAAGAGTAACAGGGATGGGAGGAGAATGAGGGATTTGAGAGAGAGTCTGAACAGGAGCAAAGGGAGATGGAGTGCAATGAAGGGGAATGTGGGAGCAAAAGGGAGATTGTAGATCAGGAGAAAAAGAGGACAGGCATTTAAAATGTGGGTCACCCTTTTTAGCATACTCAGAGGAAGAGGTTCCCCAGGCACTAAACCAATATCTTTATCCAGGTTTTTTAAATATTAACCTGCTCCTTACTGCTAACATATGGTGTAGTTATATTAACATTTTATTGCAACTTTGTCTTAATTAAAATTAAAATTAGGAGAAGACAGTGGGAATAGAGATTGGCAGAGCAAAAAATGTGGAGGAGTGATTGTAGGGGCTGAACTGGGAACAGGGGACTACAGGAGATCAGGGGAAGTGAATGGTGAGGAAATTAGGTGAACTAAGGAGGGGAACTGAGGGGAAGGAGACAGGATAATGATAAGGGAGGAGGCTGGAGAGGGCAGAATGGTAAATGCCCCATTCTAATAGCTAAGTCAAGAAGTTCAATTCAACAGCCAGATCCCTTCATTTGATACTTTGGTACATATGTTTCAGGTTGAACTTTTACTTTGAAATACACATGCCTTGGGGATGAACAGCTTTCCCCAAAAGCTCAAACACCTCAAAGCAAATTACCCATCCCTCTGAAAAAAATATTTAAATCTCATGACTTTTAAGATAGTCTTGTGATTTTGGGGGCCTGACTCATAATCTTTGAATGCTTTAAGAGGGTAGTACTATAATCAGCACTGTCCACCCCACGCATTTGAGAATCTTGAGTCAGATCCCACCAAATTATTCCTTCACTACTGGCACTGTTAAATTAAAGAACAGTGTCATTGCCATTAGTGTTACTAATAAAGTAATAATTTCTATTATTATTACAGTGGGTTTAATTCTGAATACACCAAATCTTGAACAGATATGTTGGTTTTGGCCATTATACAGCCCTGTATACAAAGTTTGGATCCCTGACGAGTTGAAATTTGGGGGAGTTCAGGTAAGGGGTTTTGCCCATTCTTTGATCATGATTATTAACCAATTCCAAAGCACTCTGGAAATACCTTGCTTTTCCTTTACTGTAGTCATATCTTCCAAATGCCTTGTAGCAATCAAAATCCTGTGCCAAACACAACAGTGAAAGGCACTGTACGAATGACATAGGCAGGGTGGGGAGAGACATGCCAGATCCCTGGGTAAGGTGGGAGAGAACTCGGCTCTGTGCCCTGGGAAAGGAGGGGGCCTCAAGCAGAAGGGCAGGGCTGTGGATAGCCTTCCACAACCAGCCCTTCAGGCACTCCAGCAGCACTTCAAACCCGTCAGCGCTCCAGGAACCCCAGGCCCTTTTAAATTGCCAGGCCCCCAGTACAGCTGTCCTCTTTGCCCTCCTTCCCTTCCTACACCCCATCAGCAACCCTGAACATAGGCATAGCATAGCTAGAGAGTTAAGCAAGTCTTGTGGTATCTGTAGGTAGATAGACAGACAGACAGATAGATATTATCTATTTAAATAGAAAAAAATAAATTAGGTAACAAAGATGAGATAAAATATAAATATGGGGAAATAAGATTAGGCTGTTGGTGTTAAGACCAGAGCCCTTCATGCTCACTAGTAGTGTTGTCACTGTTTCCTTCTAATCTCCAAACTGTCTCTTATGCCTCGTAAAACGAGGTATACAGGATCTATCGGAAAAGGCTTTCTTTAGCGATAGGTCAGCCTCTAGACTGCTGCTTTTCTTCGACAAAGCTCCGTGCAGAAAAAAAGCGGTGGCCATTTTATGCTCCTACTTTGCTTCCCCGCTTCATTAGCAATTTTGCACAGCCTAATCTGCCTTCCTCTGCCGGCAGACTGGTGCAGTCTAGACATACCCGCTGAGTCTACCTGCAGTCTCTTGTCTCATCCTTAGATTGTAAATGCCTTGGCACAAAGATTGTCTTTTTGTTCTGTGTTTGTACCATACCTAGCACGCTGGGGGTCCTGGTCCAAGTGCTACAATACATAATGATAATAGAGCTATGGAGCGGTGGATGAACCTGTGGAGAAGACAGAGCTTTTAGCTGGAGATGAGGAGAGGTAAGGAAAGAGACAGATTAGGCCCAGAGGCTGAAAAGGAAGTGGATTGGGGAATGTAGGGAGCTGGACAGCCAGCCAGATGGACAGAGGGACCCGTGGCCTCTGGGGGCGTGGAGAGGTGCACAGCGTGGGCGTGATGCCCCTGCCTGTATTCAGAGGCATCCCTGAATGATGGTGGCAGCCTGGCAGGGACCTCTCCGGCAGGCTCCGCGCGTTGCTGGAACCTCTGCGCTCCCTCCTGCTGCGGTCTCCATGCAACACGGCAGCGTGGGCGTCATCTAGTTCCCCTTCTTTGCATAGTCCTCGCCATTGGCCAATCGGCAGACAGCTGTGGCTCTCTCATTTGCATAGGCCTCGCCGGGGGCCAATGGGCTGGCAGCTGTGGAGCTTGTTTGGAAGGCGATGTTTCCATCCGTGCGGGGTTCCAGCGCGGTGCTTGCCTCTGAGAGAGCCAGCGGCCGGGCTGGTACTAGCTGGCCGGGCGCTCGGCCTGGGCAGCGCTAGGAGCCGCCTATTGTTCGCTGCGGTGCAGGCGGCTGAGCCCAGAGCAGGGGGCGCCGCGGGGACAGGATGTCGGTGGCGGGGCTGAAAAAGCAATTCCACAAAGCCAGCCAGGTAAGCGAAGCGGTCCCTGTGGGGCGGGGAATGGCAGTGCCCCCTTCCCCCACCCGAACTGGTTTTCACTTATCTCTGCACACTCCCTTGCCCCCTCTCACGCAGGGGTTTCCCTTCGCCCTCTCTATCCAGGTGACAGCTCTACCCGTTGTCACTTAGGGGTTACCCGCTCCCAGGGATGGTTACTCTTTAACACTCCTCCGCTGGGGGTGGTTACCCACTCACCCAGGGTGTTACCTCCAAGCGCTCCCCTTCCAGGAGAGAGTTGTCAGACTACTCTTTTTACACACACATCCTTTACCCTGAGATTCATCCCTTTTCTCCACCCCTGTGCCTTCCAGTAGGATGACCTCCTTGATCTGCCCTTCCTGAGTCAGGATTAATCCCCCCTCCCAGAACATTACCCCCGTAGGCTTCCGATGGTTTTATTCCTGTTAATTGTTTGATGACACTGCCCCCAATCAAGGATATGCAAGGTGCTGTGCACAGTCTTGTTCATCCAAGCTGTTAGTTATAGCATATCCCTCCACAGATTTCCCCTTTATTAGCCCATCTGGGGGACTACCTTGCTCTGCTGATTTTACTCTTCTACACCATGTTGTCACCCCCATGTCTCATAGAGTCTACCAAACCCCAAGGGAGCTTCCCTGTTTTCTGTGTCATATGTCATCATCCATTTCTAGGGGAACTTCAGCACTCTCCGCTTCCAAGGAACTGCCACTTCTCTTCCCCTCCCAGTGCTTCACCTTTTTCAACCATCCTTTTCTTTCCTATTTATTTTCTACCCCCTTTATGTCATGTGACTCTCATACATACTATGGCTGATTTTTCTCCAGGTTATGAAATCCCCTCTTGTGGCAGGTGAATTGATTGCAGTGTACCATGAGCCGGCATGAAAATAATGTATTTTTGCTGATAGTTTCAAGAGCCATTCTCTGTATTTGAAATCAGTTCAATGAAGAAGCTGAGGTGCCCCACACATCTGTGCTGGATAGACTGTTTGTTTGTTCAAAATCCCCAAGAGCTGTGTAATTCCATTTGCCATAATTAGTGATCATGGCAGCACTGAATTCAGCTGTAACCTGTTGAGTCTAGTTAGGTTCACTTGTTCTTGCTGTGGATAGGAAAAAATGAGGATTCAGTGCCTGATTGCCTAGCTGTCATTTTATTGAGTTGTATTGTCTTTAGTGCTAGTATCTTAGGGTATGTCTACACTACAGAGAAGATTGAAGCTGCTGCAGAGCTCGAATTAGCAGGACTAGTGAATACATGCTAATTCAATCTGAGAGGGGCACTCTGATTGATGATGGTAGTCCTGCTTCCATGAGGACTAAGGGAAGTAGAAGGGAGAGTGTTCTCCCTTTGACTTCCTGAAGTGTGGACAGTGCCCAGAGTTGAGTTAAGGTACTTCAACTTGTAACTGAAGTTGCATATCTTAATTTGACCTTATCCCATAGTGTAGACATAGTAGAGATGCCAAATTGCACTTAATCAGCTTATCAAGTAATTGATGGAATTTCCACTGACTAGTTGATTAGGGGGGAAACTGCAGAGCTTCAGCTGGGTTAGTTCCCGGTCCCTGGAGCTAACCCCACTGTGGCTCTGTCTTTTAAATGTATTAAGAGATGCCAGGCTCTTAATACATTTAAAAAGCAGATGTATAGTGTCTGAGACCCGGTGCGAAACAGGAATCAGCTGTTTCCCAGTTTGCACCAATTCCCCCACTATGCCTCTGCCTCCCCTGCTCTGCCCCCCCACCTCCCACAGACATGGTGCTGGGGGGGAATTGGTTTTTAAGCCAGCTCCCCCCCATCACTGTCGCCTGTCCCCTTGCCACCTCTCTCTGATAGAGGCAGCAAGAGGGGGGAGGAGGAATCGACTAGTTAAGTCACTATGTGACTACCTGATAAGCATATGCTAGTTGCTTACATCCCTAACACATACCCTTTACAGTTTATGAACAGTGCACATCTATCATGTTTGGGAGTCATGTTCTTATCTTTCCTTGTAATATTGTCTTTTCAAAGGATATGTATATGTTTGGATGAAACAGTGTTTCAAATCTATATGCTTAACTCTCAGCATGCCCATGACAAAAAGTGGAGCTCCCTGGGTAAAAATATACAAGGGTAACTTGAAGATCATTTGGGCTTGTTTTGTACTTTGTATGTAAGATCCCTTATGAAGATAAATGGTACAACCTTAAATATGATGCCTTCATAATACAGAGAACAAAAGGCTCATAGCCAGGAAGTTAGAGTTGTAACCACAACAAAAGCAACATATAATGTAAAATTGCTAGTGAAGGTGTGTTGCAATCTACCCAATCCTGTGGGAGATAATGAACTTAACAGAAACCAAAGTGATATATGTCTAGAACAAGCTAATAGAAATGTAGTGAGATGTGCTATTGCATTGCTTCCTGTACTCAATACAGCATATAACCAGGAAATTTTAAACAGCATATCATCACCCAGAGCTTGATTTTGGACCTATTGAGGTTAATGACTAAGCTCTCATTTCTTTCCGTGGTGCATGATGGAATACATATTACGAAGTAAAGTGACTCAAGACACACCTATGATTCTCAAGGAAAAAAACAATGTAGCTGAAATTCCAAGGTGGGCTGGGATTGAGGAAAGCGTATTACACTGTATTTTTAAAATTGCTGGGGGAAAAATCCAAGGTAGTAGTTTCAGAACCATTTTTGGAAGAATTTCAGCAGAGAGTATTGGGTGAAATGGAACAGGGTAAGGTAGTAGATGGACAGCAGACAAAATAAATTTGGAGTTTATATGTGGTTAAAATGTATGTGCTATCTATCTACAGTAATATGACTAATCCCCTCTAATCCATCCTCCCCACACACATATTTCTATACTTTAAACCAATTTATAGCAGACAAACATGGAGAGCAAAAAATATGCCAGAGCAATAAAGAGGTTATACCAACTGGAAATATTATGATGGAATTAAATGTAGAGAGTTTACTTATAATAATGACAAGAGAAGCAAATAAGGAACATGAAAGGAATATTGCTTTTATGGGCTTTTTTATTTGTAAGTGCATACAGAATAAGAGATCATTGAAGGAGGCATAACTATCTCTCTGTATATGGAATGAATAAGAGATGCTGGGCTTAAAGTGCAGCAGGGGAGGTTTAGATTGGACATTAGGAAAAAATTCCTAACTGTCAGGGTGGTCAAATATTGGAATAAATTGCCAAGGGAGGTGGTGGAATCTCCCTCTCTGGAGATATTTAAGAACAGGTTAGATAGACATCTGTCAGGGATGGCGCAGACGGAGCTTGGTCCCGCCTTGAGGGTGATAAACAAAACTGATGGCTAATTCAAAAGTGTCATAATACTTCTTATAGTTTCAGCACCAAAGGAATTACCCCAATGCGGGGGTGGTGGCGAGGGGGGGGGGGGAGAGGAGATTAAATTAATTCTTTGCTTTAGTGTCCTCAAAGGAGGATGGGGGCAGATGACAGAAATAGGCAAATTTCCCAGAGGACAAGAAAATACTGAAGGGAATGAGGATCATGCCAGGCATGTGATAAAGAAATGAGAACATTTAAGAACTGACAGAACTTGAAGACAAGAATCTGAAAGAAAAAAAGCAAATGAGATCAGAGAGTCTACACTTAAACAAAATGCATTCATAATGTTGAAAACACAGAGCTCTTTTTGCATTTCTTAGTCCAGTTACTACAACAGGTATGATATTCTGTTCTGAAAAGCTCTCTGTTCCAGTCTTTTTACCCTCACATTTTATTAGTATCTGTCTCCATTTATTGTAAACATAAGTTACAAAATTAGTCATTGAACTACTTGCTGCTCTTGGGTCCACTTTTTTCATTATTTTTCTGTGCTGCAGGCTTTACATCACCTTTCCATAAGCTTCTTGTTCTTTAATTTTAATTTCAAGTTCTGAATTTCAGGGAAAAAAACAATTACAAAATGTCCAGGAGCACAGAGCCAACCCTCCCCTTGCCTTGCACAGGAGCCCAGCAAGTGTGCCAGCCCTTCAGCCTGTGCATTATCCAATGTCCACCTTATATTTAGCTGTGAAACTCTGGATACAATTCCCAGACCTGAGGAAGATCTCTGAGTAAGCTCAAAAACTTGTCTCTTTCACCAACAAAAGATAGTTCAGTAAAAGATATTCCCTTCCCACCTTGTATCTCTAAAGAGAGTTTATAATTATTAACAGAAACAGAGAATGTAGTAACCAAAAAAAAAGAGGCAATTAATATGTGTGAAAGAATCACTAAGTCTCACTATTGAAATTGAGAGAGAAACTCGCTTTGATTAAATAACACTTATATTTGTGCCAAGGGGCCACAGACTATCACAGAGTCCATCAAATATGAAAACATTTCAGCCACTACTAATTTGAGTTAGATATGATGAATCAAGAACTTAAAAGGAAAGCCATTGTATCCTGTAGCCATATATCAGAGCTCAGTTTGCTATTCTCTTTTGGGTAGCAGTAAGCAGAATATTGGATAGGACAGGAGAGTGGAGAAAGGAAGTTGATTGTTTCATCTATTATTTTAGGTTTGGAGTTGTTTATAATTATGCCTGGGGGACTATTACATGTTTTGAATATTTAAAAATAGTGTTGAGGAGGTCAAAACATCAATGTCTCTTTCTTCGCCAATGTAGACATTCAATCAGGCAGTGTTTACAGTAATCTATTCCTCTTCCACTCATATTAGATTATATGTGGTTGGAGGTTTATTTTCTCGGTATCTGTAGATTAATAGGTGTAATACAGTAAGTGTAGATTTTGGCTGGATAACTTCTCATTGGCAAAAGGTTCTAGGGAGACTCTGTAGGCATCTGTATATTTAAAAAAATAATTTTTGTTGTTCTCACTAGAGAAAATGGTCCTTGGAAAATGAGATGTTCTTTCTCCATAGATTTTGTTTCAGTAGAAGAGTGTAAAGGCCTGGGAGGAAGTATGGTCCTATGGTTAAGACCTTGGACTGGGA